TCATTCCGACCTGCATCAGATGCGTCTGAGACAGACTCAAATTTGCAATCCTCTTCTGCAGTTTTTCCTCAAGAACGTCTAAAACTAATTTATGACTAACTTTTTTTTTTTTTTTTTTTGAATTGAATGTTAAATTTAACTAAAAAAAAGAAGACTGTTTTTACATCAAGTGTATCAATACTATTAAATCTAGAACATGACCAATTGATGCAAGGTTATGTCCCATTATGTACAACCTCTTTTTTAAATAATTAACTGCCAATATTTCACACACACATATATATCTATAACGTGATTTGGTGTTTTATAACTTCCCCTCCTCTTTACTTCATATAATTTAGGGTAGTAAAAAAAATGAGTTATTGCACTACATACCCATGAAACAAATGTAAATTAGGTAATTGACGATGACCTTTCCGTATTTGGCTGATTGGTTACGTAAGGAGTGTGCTTTGTCGAAACTATCCTCTAATTCCTATTCATTGACCTATGATTCTGAGCAAAGCTATAATCATAGGTTTTGTGCTATGTCAGTACGACTTTACAGTATGTCTGTATCTTGTCGCATAAAGTGATGAAGCTTTCCAATATTCTTTTAGTTTCTATCTTTGCAAAACGTGCTAAACTGTACAAACAACTTAGACTTTCTAAGAAATGTTAATTAGGTGTAATTACATGATAATGCAACAACTCTCGTGAAACCAATTTTAGCAAAGAAACTTCAAGATTAATAGGGAACAATTTCATTTAGTCTCCGCATAGGATGTGTTTGAAATACATATATTGTTGACATTAACTCTGTAAGAGTGGTAATAGAATTTAGACTACAGATAATTAGAACATATATAGATTACAGATAATTCGATAGATACAACCCTAAGGAACTAAGGTATCAATGCTTGAGAATGAAAACGATTATCGCTGTAGCAATTATAATCAGCCCCCAGGTTATTCCAAACATTGTACGCATTCCTTTCTTAACTGGTTCAATTCCATCGAATAACATATGTGGAGTGTGTTCTATCTGCACATTTTCACAACTTGCCTCAGATGACCGATATCTTTCCAGAAGCTCCTTTGCTTCAGTTAATGAAGCTCTTAAAGCGGCTGTCTCCCGTTTGTTACGACGAATTTGATCCCTTGCTTCCACTAAACTTGCAGTCTGCCATTCTGTCGGATCTTCTGTGTCTGCCCAGCAAACAAACCCATGTACATCACATCGATGGAATCTCCTACCTGGATTATCAACAGAACAAGAAATCATAACACCGGTTTGTCTTGAACAACGACATGGTGGTCCAACACAATTTTTCTTCACTTGACGTGAAGCAGATGAGGATGTAGTGTTTGAGCTACTCATTTTGGGTTTAAAAGCTTAATCGTTACAGAGGGAGGATCGAAAAATAGGTGAAAGATTTTTATATGATTTCCAACTAATAGACAAATGAACCTCTAGACAAATTCTTCTACGCTTTCTTAGATTTGTAAAAGAAGAACACATGTCAGTCATCGCCGTGGATAAGGAGAGTTGACGAAAATATCTACATGGTTAATGAAAACTAAACTCGATTTCTTGTTAACCAATCTAATTAAACCATATACCGAGCTTTCCCGAGGAGTACCGGTAACCGAAAACCCTAATTTTTTCATATTCTAGTTCGTATTGGAGGGAAACAGATTGAGAAAAATAATAAAAAGACTGAGACCGTGTGTCCGTATACGTCGTGTCCTACGGCACAGCATGGCGGCTATGATGTTATAGGCTTCAGACTACCTATTGCTGAGGAGTGAGCTGGATTCACATCTTTTTCATATCGGTGTATCTATCGCCAGTTTCAGTCTTCACATCCTGCTATAAATCGGCAGTCCCTGCAATCACTTTTGGAAGAAAAAATTATTTTCCGTTTCACAAATTTGCTACCGGGAGTTTGAAGAATCTCTTGTGAAAAGGTAACTTTTTTTTTTAGTCGATTCATCTTAAAGTCTGTCGGTCTATTTCAGTCTTCACATCCTGCTATAAATCGGCAGTCCCTGCAATCACTTTTGGAAGAAAAAATTATTTTCCGTTTCACAAATTTGCTACCGGGAGTTTGAAGAATCTCTTGTGAAAAGGTAACTTTTTTTTTTAGTCGATTCATCTTAAAGTCTGTCGGTCTATTTTTGGCTTGTGGGGTCTTTTTCACAACCCTAAATTTAATCATCATCTTAACTTAGATTTGTTTTAGATTATGTATTTGTTTTGGGTTTAATCTTGTCCTAAATTATTTGTATTTTTTCAACTAGATGGGTAGGATTTTGCATCTTGAGCAAGGCGTGTGGATCAAATTCGATGCCGGGATCTGGAGCTTCATGAACAGTGCCGACTACTATGGTGAAGCTATTCTTGTCCACAAAAACGAGACTATTGAAGATCTGAAGACTAGCCCTGATACACATGTTGTGCTAACTTACATGTTTCCTCAGTGGATGATGGTCCCAAACGGACCGAAACCTCAACCTGTGAACATCCTTGAGATAAGAGATGTCGAGGTTATGATGAGTATCCGCGAGTTTGACGAGGTTTTTGTGCTTTATGTCACTTCTGCAGCTGAAGGAAATCAGCTGTTAGGAGAGATGACAGACCACGTTTATGATACAGTTCAATGGAACAGAAACAACATTGAGAGTCTTCAGGAAATATTTCAGAAACATTGCAGCAATAGTTACAAAGATGGATGCAAGATGAGCCAGAAGTGATGAAGTCACAAGAAGTTTCATGGCTACTTGGTTCAGCATCAACATAGAAGTTGTGGATACTTGTTTTCCAACAAGTAGCTCTTTTTCCACACCATAGCTCACCTAGTGCAAAAGTCAAGCTAAATGACTATAACTAAGCGCTGAGTGGGAGGCAACCCACTGTTAGGTAATTTTTCTTTTGGATTTCTTTTCATTTTACTTATACTTTTTCGTTTTACAACTTTTGCAGGTTTTTTTTTCTAAAAAAAACAACAATAACAACAAAAAGATCCAAGGAGAAACAAAAAATACATAAAAAAATAATAATAATTAATAAAAAGGAAAAATAATTCCTTTTAAAGAAAATATTTTAACACTAAACCCTAAACTCTAATTCTAACCCCTAAACCCTCGGGTAAATTATAAACCTTTGGATAAATCTTATAGAGTTTTAAAAATTTAGTGTTAATGATTTACCCAAGGGTTTAGGGTTTAGGATTAGAATTTAGGGTTTAGGATTAGAATTTAGGGTTTAGTGTTTATGATTTATACCCAAGGGTTTAAGGTTTCAGATTAGAGTATAGGGTTTAGTATTTATGATTTACCCAAGGGTTTAAGGTTTAGGATTTAGTTTTAAAATAACTTTAAAAAAAAAATTATAAAAGTTATCCAAAGGTTTATGATTTACCCATGGGTTTAGGGTTTAGGATTATAGTTTATGGTTTAGTGTTAAAATATTATCTTTAAGAATAATTATTTTCGTTTTTTATTAATTATTATTGTTAATTATTTATTTTTGTAGTTTTATTTTTAAAAACGTAATATAACTTAACGAGATTTTGTTTCCTTTTTTAAAAGATATCAAATATGAAATAATGCAATTCTATTGGATAGTGAACCTAGAGGTTCACCCTAGGGCGTGAACCCAAGAATAACTCTTTAACTTATATCCTATCCTATCTAGGAGGTGGATTTACACCCTCCACAAGACCAAACAAATAGAAGGTTCGGCCCAACAAGAACCACTCTGTCGTGGCTTGGCTAGCGGCTAAACGCTAGGAGAGGCCACATGTGTCTTAAGTCGATGGAGCCGAGTTCAGGTTAAACCAAGTAACGACGACTGACGATGGGCCGGTTCAGCAGCTTGACTTACGGCCCATTAGTTTGGCCTTATCTAGAAGGCCATCAGGACGGACCGACTTAAGGCATCCGCACGAGGCTAACTATATAAAGAGGAGGAAGAAAGTAAGAGGGAAGGGGAGACACAGATTTTACGGATAGAATTAGGATTTTACTTCCTTTGTATTCATGCCGACTTGTACTTTCCCGGAAAACTCTCTGAGCACCGGTTTGTTTCTACCGCTTATTTCCCTATTTGTAACCTACAAACTTCTTTGACTATCTAATAAACATCTTTGAAATAATCCATCGACGAGTTTTGTCCTTCTTACTAGTTTTTAGTTTCCGACCAAACTCGGTTCAAACATCCTATATGTTTCCTATATTGTACTGAGTCTTGATTTTTCCTTAATACTTGTGAATAATCGGATCTCTCTATTTTTTGTAAACAAATTAGATCATATTTGTAATAAATTATGGATGTATATGCCTGCTTAAACCTACACGGCCCAACTAGTACATGCTATTAATATTTGCCTATGCTTATCGGAGCGGTAAACAAATTATGTACGTTAAAACAAGACAACGTGACATCAATCCTGTATAGGCTTCAGCTGTTTCCTCTATACTAGATGCAAAAACATCAGAACGGTTTACAAAGAATAAAATCTACGGACAGGACACGTAAAAAGAAGCTATGTTCGAAAGAAGAAGCTCAGACCATGTATGTCATGCCGACCTGCATCATGGGACTGAGGCTCACTCAAATTTGCAATCCCTCTTCTGCAGTTTTTCCTCAAGAATGCGTAAAAGTAATTAATGACTAACTTCTTGATGAACAATGAATCTTTTCTTGCTCTTATATCAATTATCACCATGTCCCAGTAGATACACCACCCCTGATGCTTTGGCTTGGTGTATGAACGATAACTCTCTCTCCAGGCTCTGCTCCGCTTCAGATACATAGGAGTTAGACAACGCGTCAAAGGGATGGTGGTTTGTATGATGATCAAATGAAGTGCTCATTTCCAAGATCGGTGTGTTTAACTCTATGTACTCTGAGAGAAGAGGATCACCCAATGAGTACATGCTTCCGTTAGGGCCAATCACAACTCTTGTACCTGCAAAAACTCAACACAAACTATAAGATAAGAAAGTAGACCGACCTGGCAATGCAACGCAATAAGTGATAGCTTTTGGTGCAGACACGTCTGAAGAGGAACCTCTCACTCTGGGGTACAACTGGTACCGGGACGTATTTTATGCAGACAAAAATCACCATGGAGTGGATTGCGGGAAGAGTAGTGAGAAAATGACCAAATATTGCTAGCACGCCCTTCACCAACTCATTGTATAGCAAACCGATACCAGGAGCTCTTATTGTTCCCAGGTTGCACCCAAGCTCTCTCATCAAATCCATTGACAGCTTTTCTTGGACTTCTGTTTCATACTTTACTTCCATAGTTCCAAACATACATTATACCAAACATGATTACGGCAAAAAGCAATATTATACAGCTTCCATCCCCCAACACTCGATATAACTGACGAGAAAAAGAAAATAGGAATAAGACTAATCTTGGCATGACGAGAGATCAACAAGTATTATGCAAAAGTCCAACCTGAAATATCACAAACTAATCAAAACCGGTCGGCACTGTACATAGGGAAAAAAAAATTCAAAGAAGACATATATCATTCCTTCACCATTATCATTTCCCCATAGAACAACAAGAACATATTTAACAAATGTGATCAAAAGTAAAGTGTATAACACTAATGACAATGCTCCAATGACATCTTCTTTCTCTTGAACAGGTGATTTACTGAACATTACACTAAACGTATACAACGGACTGATCCCTACATCTCCAAATACAGCCCCTAAAGTCTGGAACGCAAGCAACACTCTCCTTCCAACAGTCAAGTCCTACCAAAGTACACACAAATGGAAATTGAGAAATTATTAAAAATACCACAAGTTTTTTTTTTTTTTTTTGTCATCGAGAAAACACACACAGACTCATATAGACTCTGTAAACCAAACTGGTAGCTCTGCATCCATGTGAACAACGTAGGACGATTGTTTCCTTGCACTGCGTGCTAGACTGTCCGCCCTTGTATTCTTTGTTCGTGGTACATAGATGATCTCTGAGCTGAGAAAACTATTCTTCAGCGTCTTGATATCCTCCAAGTAAGTTGCAAACGCCGGCCATTCGTCTGGTTCCAACACCATCTTCACCAGCTGAGAACAATCCGTTGCAAAGGTAACATGATATTGACGCAAATTCCGCATACATTCCATTGCCCAAATTAAAGCTTCCACCTCCGCATGGAGAGCCGACAGGCTTGCTCTGACCTTTCGTGCCCCCATTAGTCCCTGAAAGCCTTCTAGTGTACTATACCAACCTTGTCCAGAGAACTCATCTTCGAATTTCCACGACCCATCAGTAAAACACCATCGGCCGGGAATAGATGGAACATTCCCATCCTGTCCCTGGATCGAAACATTGTGTGAATGTGTCGAAGGAATCACCTGTGCCTCATTCCAAAGAGTGAATTCTGTCTCCGCTAGCTTCAAAGTATCTCTTGGATCAATATCCAGATTACTAAATATCTTGTTATTTCTAGCTTTCCAAAGGTACCATAAGATCCATGCAAACTGATTGTCATCCATTTTCGGGATTACCCTCCAGAATAAATGATCCATATTGGTAAACAGCGAGCTTTTAGGGAAAATATCTGGATTAGCTGGTATCTTTGATAATGCCCAGACCTGACGTGCTGGTGGGCACTCAAAGAAAACATGATTAATCGACTCCTCCTCGGCTCCACACCTGCCACAGCAAATATCTCCTTTCATTCCTCGAGCTTTGAGATTTTTCTTAACCGCTATGCATCCAGACAGAATCTGCCATAAAAAATGCCTTATCTTTGGAGGGCATCGTACCTTCCAACAGTGGGCCTTCAATTTATCAACCGTAGGTCCCATCGTTACTTTTACGCTTTCGTTATCTGGGTAGATCCGTTCCACTTGGTAACCCGATCGCACCGTATATTTCCCGTTAAGTGTAAAATGCCATCCATACCTGTCTTCCATCTGTGTCCTACTCAGTGGTATGCTTTCTATTATTTTTGCGTCCGCAGGGTCCATCAAAGCCCTAATTGCCTGAATATTCCAACTCCGCGAGTTCGCATTGATGAGTGAATCAACTTTAAGTTCCGGGTAAAGGTTAAAAAGAGTTTTGTTTGCTGGTCTCGGGCGAGTGGTTGGGAGCCAAGGGTCATTCCATACAGAAATAGATGATCCCGATCCCACCCTTTTGATTAGTCCTTTGCTAACCAGAGATCTAGCAGAAATCATACTCCTCCAGCCATATGACGGGCAGTATGATCTTATTTGGTCCAAGGGTGATGCATTCCTAAAATACCGACCCTTGAATACTCGTGAAAACAAAGTGTGCGGTTTGTCAATAAGACGCCAAAGTTGCTTACCAAGCATGGCCGTATTAAAGTCATTTAGATCTTTGAAACCCAATCCGCCGTCAGCCTTGTCCAAACATAATTTATCCCATGATTTCCAGTGCATTCCATGCGTACTCCCTCCCGGGCTCCACCAGAATTGAGCTACAGATGCAGTCAACTTTTTTGTAATTGTCTTGGGTATTCTATAACAAGACATCACATGATTCGGGAGAGCGGATATTACTGATTTAATTATGACCTCCTTGCCTCCCTTAGTGAAAAATTTAAGCGTCCATCCATTAACCTTCTTATGTAGCCTATCTTGAACAAAGCCAAACACCTGAACCTTCGATCCGCCCAGATTTTCTGGTAAACCCAAGTATGATCCCATTCCCCCTAGATTCTGTATGCCTAATATATCCCTCAGATCCTGACACGCTGCCTCATCAATCTTATGTCCAAATTGTATGGATGACTTTTGGAAATTAATTAACTGTCCCGATACTGCCTCGTATTCCTTCAAAATTCGAAGAATGGTCCGACACTCATCTTCCTGAGCCTTGCAAAAGAAAAGACTGTCATCTGCGAAGAGCAAATGCGAAATTGCAGGAGAAGCTCTAGCCACCTTCAAACCAGTTAATTGTTTATGACGTGCTGCCTTCTTAATATTTGCGATCAACGCCTCCGTGCACAGAATAAATAGATATGGCGACAATGGATCCCCTTGTCGTAAACCTCTGTGAGGGATAATATGCCCACGTGGAGTGCCATTTAATAGAACTCGATACTGAACTGACGAAACACACGCCATCATAAGCCTAATCCAGCGAGGATCAAAACCCATCCTGTGTAAGAGTGCTCGAATGAACTCCCACTCTACTCTATCATATGCTTTACTCATATCTGTTTTAATTGCCATGAACTTTCCTTGACAAGATTTATTAGTCCGCAAACCATGGAACATCTCCTGAGCTATCAAAATATTATCTGAAATTAATCTCCCTGCCACAAAGGCAGACTGGGTTTCCGAAATAAGTCGTGGTAAGCAGCTTCTCAGTCGCTGGCATAACACCTTGGATATAATCTTATATCCCACATTGCACAGACTTATTGGTCGAAGTTCCGTCATCCGTGTGGGTCTCTCCGTCTTTGGTATCATACAAATATGAGTAAGATTTAATCTGTGATCCAGTACCCCTGTTTCCAAAAATTCATTGACCATTTTCACCAGATCATCTTTTATGATATGCCAGGAGTGCTGGAAAAAAAGAGCCGTCATTCCATCAGGTCCCGGAGCCTTTTCTGGATGCATCATAAATAGTGCTTGTCTTACTTCCTCCTCGGTTGCTGGTCTTATCAATCGTTGATTCATCTGAGCAGTGATAGTTGAAGGAACTTCATCCAAGAAGGTCGCCATATCCGTAGGAGAAGTGGACGAGAATAGGCTCTCAAAATATTCCACGGCTACCTGCTCCACCCCATTGTCCTCTGTTATCCAATTGCCATTTGCATCATGGAGGCCCACTATGCGATTGCGCGCCCTTCGTTGCTTTGTTAGTGCATGATAGAAATTAGTATTAAGATCGCCTGATGTATACCACATATTCCGACTTTTCTGGTGCCAGTAGTCCTCCTCATCCTTATATGCTTCCTGTAATTTTCTGGAGACCTCTAAGATGTCTTCTTGTGATCTGTTATCATCCGTCTGTACTTCCTCGAGTGCTCTTTGGAGGTCTTGAATTTTTTCCTTCCCATAGGGAGGATTATTTTTCCTCCATTTTGCAATCTCGTGCCGGCAATTACCAATTTTAGTGACAAAATCCATTTGTTGACCGTTATTTGATGTAGACCAGCTAGAAGCTAGTGCCTCCTCGAATCCTTCTTGTCCAATCCACCTTTTATCGAACCGAAATTGTCGTTTTGTTCGTTGGACCTTATCCTCCAAAAAAGCGACCACTGGTCTATGATCCGATCCAATCATACCTAAATATTCAGTATAAGAGTAAGGAAAGAGCGTGTGCCACCCCTCGTTTGCTAAAGCACGATCCAACCGGCATCTCACCATTTTGGCTCCTTTCCCCTTCCCGCGACGTCCTTGCCAAGAGAAAGTGTTGCCCCGAGCTGGGAATTCTAATAACCCACTGTTTCGTATCATATTATTAAAAGGAACAAAAGAGCTAGGATTTCTCAGCGTTCCTCCTTCCTTCTCATATTATTAAAAATACCACAAGTTAATTACCATTTTTTCAAAAACACCACCAATCAAAAAATATATTAACATTAGTTTATGATTAAGTGATTATTATCTAGTGTTTAGTACAGGTTAATACATTTTTTGATTTGCTTTTAAATTTTGAATATTTTTTTATTTGCTTTTAAATTTTATATTTTTTCAAAAATACCACCAATCAAAAAATATATTAACAAAATTTGATTTGCTTTTAGATTTTATATGATTTTTATGGTTCCTTTTGGTTTTGAATATCCAAAAAATTTCAGTTTATTATAGTTAAATCAAATCTGCATGTTATTTTGTTGTTTTTATAGTTACCACAGTCAAATCTACGATCTTAATCAGTTGTGCTTTACTAATGGAAATTGTTTTTATTGGTTTATTGCGCAAGCCGTAAAGGTATCAACTTCCTTAACGATTAAAGATAACGTTAAATATGTGCCAGCTTGTTATTAGCAATAAACAATATATAGAGTAGGATCGTCAGTCAGAACATACAGAAAATATAAATATGCTAATTTGCCACGCGATTTTAGGTTTAACGATTACGCAAAGAAAGCCACATAACCAAATATAAATAGCTTAAGTCAATTTAGATCACTTTCATTGACAGATTTTATGAGTATTATAACAAATTTAAGAAAAGTAATGAAAGGATAAATGTTTTAATATGTATATTATACACACAATGCCTTTAACGATACGCTTTATTTAAGTAATGAGCATGGTCAACCAACGTGCTTTCGAGATTCGATCAATCCCCCAAAACGTGCTCAGCTTGATCCAGCCCCCCTCGTATATATCACATCTCATGAGCTGATTCAAGAAACAAGCCTCTAAACAATCCTTCATTAAAAAAAAAAAATCGAATTTTAAGGAGATATGGGTGTTGATCGATCAATACTATGCTCTTACTTCATGGTCTTGATAATCTTCAGCTATCGTCCCGTCTCCGTCAAAGGTCAGTTTTTATCGGCAAGTTTCTATTCCAAGGCGTGCCCTCTTGCAGAATCGATCGTCCAAGCAACCATGAGAGCTACTTTCCTTTTACAACCAAGCATCGCACCGGCCATGCTAAAACTGCTCTATGTTGACTGTTTCGTCCAAGGTTGTGATGCCTCGGTGCTTATCTCGGGACCTAACACCGAAAAAATCGCAGATGTAAACCTCAACCTTCGTGGGTTCGAAGTCATTGATGAGATCAAAAATCAAATTGAGTCCGTTTGTCCTGGTGTTGTCTCGTGTGCCGACATTTTAGCTTTAGCCGCTCGTGAAGCCGTTGTCCTCGTAAGTATTACTACAATAATCAAAATATACATAAATTTTTCATTTGGATATGGAAAATGTATAATGTCAGAAATGATCACAATGATCAAAATATACATAATTTTTTTATTTGGATATGAAAAATGTATAATACGAGAATAAGTGTTCAAAGATGAAATTTCGTTGTAAGATTTAATTTTTATAGTCGTTTGAACTATAATAGATCTAATGAATTGCCATATCAGAAAAAACGTTATAACTAAAATTTTAATCTATGTAATCCAATGTTATAAATATATATTTGTAATTGGATACTTTTTTGCGGAAAAATAATTTATTTATCAACTAAAACAAAAATTCAAATATTTGGTCTAAGAGAACTAGCTTGAATATTTCATTTTTATTTTAAAATATGCATAGAACGAAAACTCAAAAAGATATATTGTATGAAAACTTTTTGAGAATAAAAAAAAACTCATATATATTACTGATCATATATAACTGTTGGAATATAAAATGGACATGCATGTACAGACGAAGGGACCGTACTGGGAAGTAAAACTAGGACGTAAAGATGGAAAAGTTTCATTGGCAGCCAATGTCAAAAGTCTCCCGTCTCAGACTGACATCACCGAGGCGCTCATGATATTTGCTACTCACGGGCTTAACACTGAAGATTTCGTTGCTCTCATAGGTCAGTAAAGTATAACACCATTATCATCTTACCATGGTAGACAGAGGTAGCATATCGTTGTTCATTTGTAGACAGACGTAGCAAATAGTTGCATACCAAAATCTCTAATAAAATGGTGTCAAATGAGAATTGCTTTTGATATTTTACAATCAGATCCGCTCTATATAGCATAGACAAAGAAACCACTCGTCCCGATTTTATACTATAGTTTTAGCTGTACGTGTGTACTACAGTACAAAAAAAATAAAAATAAAAAAAATAAGGACATATATAAATTTATATTGAACATAGAGTATTATGAAAAAGATTAAACGTGAGACCCAAGGTTGGCCGAGAAGGCAAGCCACCAAAGCGTCGGAGTAAGATTTATCATATGAAAATGACATTTTTCATATTTAAAAATATATATATATATAAAATATAAAAAATGTCGCATTGTTTATGGAATACTTATGATAAATAAATTGAATAACGGTATATTAAAGTAATAATATTTTAACATTAAATTTCATAGTAAGAATTAGTTTTAATAAAATTGTGCTTTTATGTAGTCAATATATCTAAGATAATATTGAGTAACCTTGTTATACAATTACATTTATAAAATTATCTTATTAATTATTAATAGAGCTGATATAGTTTATATTTAATATAATGTTTCCATATATATATATATAACTAGGCGTTTTGTCCGCACTTGCGGGCATAATTATCCTATGAATATTTATTAGGTGAGGTTTCATTAATTTAAAAATCAGCGTAGTAAGTTATTATTTATGTTTTCAAAACGTAAAAATCAAACATCAAATAATTATCAATGACAAAACTCAAACATCAGAAATATTTAAAAAAATATTTTTTCTAGAATAGTTTTCTTGATTTATATTTAATTATAATATTTATATCTTAATTTTAAATTTTATATTAAAAAACATACTTTCAAGATAACATTATAATACATAAGTTATTTATTTTCTGAAAATATAATATGATAATTTTTAACTATATAATAATTATATAAGATTATAGAAATTATGACATATAATTAAAATTACCTAAAATCATTGATAATTTAATGAATTATCACATTCACTTCTTAAATAATTTTTCTTGCGTGATGATTTATATTTAATAAATAATAGATAATTTCTATTTTATTTTTAAATTGTATAATATAAAAATATATTTTCAAGACAACAACATAATACATAAGAATTACCATCTTCTCTAAAAGTATAATATAATTAGCTTAAATCTATTTCAATTATAGAATAACCACAACTTTTTATATCTTAATTTTAAATTTCTAATAAAAAATATATTTTCAAAACAACTTAATACATAAGAAGTATCTTGTTTTCTAAGAATCTGATACTATTAATATAAATTTATTTTAAATATATAATAAATTTCATATAAAATTATATAAATTGATAAATTATCAAAATTACCTAAAAGCATGGAAAATATGACAAATCAGTAAACATCAAATTCACCTTTTAAATAATATTATACATTTTTTACATGTTAGTTTTTAAATTTTATAATAGAAAAATATTTTTTTCAAGATAACAGTATAATACATAAGAATTAACTTATTTTCTAAAATATCATATTATTAATATAAATTAGTTTCAAGTATATAACAATAATAAACAAAATTATAGAAATTCTGATAAATGATCAAAATTACCTAGGATCATGGAGACAAATCAACAAATCCATTAAATTCACAAGAATTATCTTATTTACTAAAAACTAGGTGTTTTGCCCGCACATGCGGCCTAATTTTCGTACAATTTATTATTAGTTTATATTTTATTAATTCAAACCAATATAATAAGTTATGATTTATGTTTTAAAATTAATTATAAATGAAAACACTCATATAACAAAATATTTTTACAAATGTGTTGCTTTAATTTATTTTAATTATATTTTTTTCTATCTTAATTTTTTATTTCTGTAATAAAAAATATATTTCAAGATAACAATATAATACATAAGAAGTATCTTATTTTCTAAAAATATAATTTTTAATACAAATTCATTTTTATTTTATAATAAATTTTATATGAAATTATTAAAAATATGACAAATTATCTAAATTATCTAAATCATGGAGAAATTACAAATTAGATAATTCACTTAAATTTTATAATAGAAAATATATGTTTAAGATAACAGTCTAATACTTAAAGAATTATCTTCTTCTTTTTTTTAAAAAAAAATCTAGTATTATTATATACATTTGTTTTATATTTAATAAATTATATATGAAATTATTAAAATATGATAAATAAGAAAAGTATAAAACCATGGAGAATTTGATAAATCAGCATTGCTTTCTTTATATTTAGCTATTAATATTGTAACTTAATTTTTAATTTCTATAAAAAAATATATTTTAAAGATAGCAATATAATACATAAGAATTATCTTATTTTGTAAAAGTATAATATTCTTAACAGAAATTCGTTTTTATTAAATAATAAATTGTATATAAAATTATTTAAATAAGATAAATAAACAAATTTAGCTAAAATTAAGGAGAAGATGACAACTAAGCAAATTTACTTCTTAAATAATAGTATAGATATGATATATTCATATAAATTCATGTTATTTATAAATAAAATATACATAAATATTAAAAATATGATAAATAAACAAAATTACCTAAATTTATGGAGAATATGACAACTAAGTAAATTTAATTCTTAAATAATACTAGTATAGATATTAAAATGCCGGAGGCATTTAGTTAAATAAAATCAGTTTGAGTTTTTAACACTGGTTAGACACGGCACTGTTTGCAATGCATTCATTATTGAACAACTACATATGGTCTCAACATAATTAAACAGGAGCACACACAATTGGAACTGCTGCTTGCACGTCAATCAGGGATAGGATAGTAAGCATCAACGGAAGCTTCATTAATTTGGGCATCAACCCTATACTCTTGCCGATGCTGCAGCAGTCATGTCCTAAAGGCGGGACTGGTTTGAGCCGCGTGGCTCTAGACATCGGAAGTGAACTCGTCTTCGACACCTCCATTTTCAAGAACATACTCAATGGAAGTGCAGTCCTCAAGACTGATCAGGGCCTTGTGAATATTCCGACCATTTACCGTATGTTGCAGCAATTCGTAACTACACAGAGGTTCAAGACGGTATTTCAGAGGGCAATGGTTAAATTGAGTGAAATCGAGGTGAAGACAGGGTTAAATGGAGAGATTCGACGAAATTGTTCCAGGGTTAATTAATTAAACCTTTGATTAATCAGTGATTGTGTTGTGTGGTGATAAAATTAGTAATGTGGGTGGAACCTTGAAAGGATGGATCCTAATGTAAATCTCTTTCCTTTCTAAAAACTGTAATCCCTTTGCTTTTCACATTATATATGAGTTTTTGTTACCTTTTGATATCAAGTGATAGTATCTGAAAAAAATTGGTTTAACATATCTGACCTTTAAAGAGCTAAAACTTAAATTAATTCTTAGATTTTTTTCCTATACGATTTGTTGTATTTATGCTCATTATATAAAATAAAACATAAAAGATGACATTTTAGAGATATCTTTTAGTTGTTTTGTCATCTTACAACTGAATCTTTGAGTCGGATCACTAGTTTCTGCGTAAATTTACAGCTAAAATGTATTTATTTGACAAAAGTTATTTACTATAGTCAAACATTAATATTTACGCACTCAAACCCAATGTGGTTACAAAGAAAAGAGAGGTAATAATACAGCAAGCAATATACACGACGAATATGGAATTATAGCAAAAAAGTTTGAAAACGAAATCCTACAATTCAAGAAAACCGTGTGAAGAAGATATTACAGTAGTAATTTCTACTTCAATATTCTTCCAATAAAGCAATATTTATTAGGTAAAAAATCAATTATTCAAACTAAATCTCTTTAATGACAAATGCTGATTAACCCAAAAGGACAAAATCAAATTAAAATGGGCAAGTAATTTCATTGAGAATCCCCCCCCCCTTAAGAAAACGCGTACATAAAACGCAGCCGTTTTAAAGGTACCTAAACTCAGACCTATATAAATCACCACCACCTTCCGATTTTCTTACACATTTCTCTCGTAAAAAAAACAAACAAAGAATCATACAATGGCCGCGATTCCTCTCCTTCTCCTCTTCCTCTCTGTTTCCTCCTCCTCTGTTAACGGAAACAATACTGCACCTGCCGTCGATTGCTCCGCTGCGATGCCACCCTTGGTGAAGTGTTTGCCTTTTGTGACGAACGGGAGTCATGTGGAAAAACCAGAAGACTCGTGCTGCTCCGGTCTCAAAACCGTGCTCGACACGAAACCTGATTGTCTGTGCGAAGCGTTGAAGAAAAGTAAAGAGATGGGAATCAGTCTGAACTTCACTAAATCCGCCACTCTTCCCGCTGCTTGCAAACTTACGACTACAACTTCTTGTTCATGTGAGAGTTTTCTTCATTATCTCTCTGATTCTCCTTTATCTTCTTGATTTTTATTTGTGAATTTTCTTTGGCGATCTTTTGCTGTTGTTGTTCTTGTATATATAATTTTAGGTTAGATCTTGTGCTTTTCTCTAACAGAGATCTTTTGTTGTTGTTGTTGTGTTGTAGTGTTTGCTAAACCTCCTGTTGCTAGTGCGCCAGGTATATTCTCTTTCTCTTTGTTGGTTTCATTGTAAATCAATCTTTGCTTCTTTGGTCTTTTTATTTTATTTTGCATGAATACCCTTTGAAAATATTTCTTGACTTTATATCATTATTTTCATAGTTTGCGATATTTTCTGATTTTTAATGCTTTGGATCTTTGGACTTCTTGCTTGAAAGCATGTTTTGTTTGGCGTTATAACAATAAAGAATAGGATTCTGATTTAAAGGTTTTGGATCTTTGGACTTCTTGCTGCATGTTTTGTTTGGCGTTATAACAATAAAGTAGGGGAATTGTAAATTCAGTAGCCATTATGATAAAAAATGGTGTTTCTTAATTATACTTTTATTTAAATATATCTTATTATTTAATAACTGATTGCAAATTAAATTATGACCAGATTCATATAGTTTTAGACAAGTGATAACAAAAAAAAATAGAGAACATGAATGAACCAGAAACAATCGAATCAATGCTAGCATTGTTTTTGGTTAATAGTGAAAAATAAACAATTTGAATAATGAAACTAGCAAACTTTTTTTTGGTAAAAGAAACTAGCAAATTTGATTGAGACGGCAATCTGATCACAATTTGAATATGCGTCTTTGGTGGCAATGAAGTTCAATGCCCTGTAGATATAAATTAATTGTTTACTTGCCTCATGTGACCATCACAACATAGTATAGTACTAATATTTGTGTGGCATACAAGATAGCTCTAGTTTAGTGTGCATTGAAATATGTAATTACATTTGAGAAGGGCTTTGTTTAAATCTCCATTTCGTTTATGTTTGAGTTTGTATCATATAGTTTAGTTTCATGTTCTCTCTGCATATTCTCTTTTAAGCCTGTAAATTTGAGAAGGGCTTTGTTTAATTCTCCATTTCGTTTATGTTTGAGTTTGTATCATATAGTTTAGTTTCATGTTCTCTCTGCATATTCTCTTTTAAGCCTGTAAATGTATCAACCTTCGATTATGTGTTTTGACTATCGTCTATCTTTTTTCTTTGTAACAGCTCCAGTTCCTGCTGCTGGACCACTAAATGGATCGGGACCAGGTTCGAGTTCTGCTCCAGCACCAAGCCCTTCTCGTAGTAACCGTGGATCTTCAGTCTCTGTCTTGCCATTTGCAATCAGCGGCGTGTTGGTCATATTGTTCGCTCTTGTCTAACACCCCTATACCTTTTTAGTTTAAGAGTTCGCTTTTATCTTGTGAGTAAACCATGGAGTTCTCTTGCTGAGAGTACAGCTTATTTTTAGTTATGATATTATCAAGACTTGGTTTAAATGTGTGCTCTGTCACACATTCGTCTTTTATATTATTTAAATTGAGTGGTTATTGTGTTATAGATTGTGTTACATTGGTTCAAAATAAAACACTGAATCATCTAACAAAGCCTCAAACGAAATATGAGGCAACTCAAGAATTCGTTTGATTTATAACCGGCATGCGTCATAGATTTGTAGTTCATAACGTCGTCTAAACTGGTTGGTTCTATCCGGTAAAAATTCAAAGGAAATAATTCAATTTGCCACATAGTAAATCACTTAATGTATAGTCAATGTCTATTAATCACTCAACTAGTGTATTAGGCTATAAATCTCAGTCTTTTTCTTGACAAAGTATAAAATCTCATAGTCTTTGTAAATCCTTATCACCGATTTCATTCTTAGTTTGTCCTTTCTTGTTAAGGGCATAAATATTCAGTACACCAAACTTTTTTTTGCTTAATTAATAGACCAAACTTTAGAAATTTAGATTACATTAATAATTGCTTTGAACAGATAAAATAATATTTGAACAATTGAACATGTCTGTCACAAATGTAAAACAGAACATGAATATAAAAAAGTAAGCATGTCGTTTTTTTTGGCAACAAAGAGTAAGCATGTCAAAATATGAATAAAATTAGAACAAAAAGAAATAAAAATAACATTTTAACCGATAGCGGATACTCATCAAAACATATTTTTGTAAAACTTTCATAAATATTTTTTTTTGGATTTAAGGCTATTACAATTATTATGATAAAAAGTTCAAAAAGGATTAACTTATGTATTGTAAAATATAAGTGCTTAATTATATCGTTTTCTACTTAGTATTTATGGACAACTTGCTTTGCAGACGAGCAACATTAAGAGAAATTCCCACAAAAATAGCATACCTTTAAACTTCTTCTTTTATTTTTACTTTTGAATGTAGGACTTATCACAAATAGACTTTTTGGTAGATAATTAACTATATATGTATTAAATGATATTTGAGTGAAATAATATAGTTATTATTTTAACTAGTATATTGTACAATCTAAGTGCTTAATTGTAATACAAAAAAGTGCTTAATTAATATTGTTTCCCTACTTAGAATTTGTGGACGATTTGCTTTGCCTTACTTTGCAGACGAGCAATTAGACATGTTCAATCTGGTGTTCGGTCCGGTTTCGATTCGTTTTTTTTTGGATTTTCGCTTATTCGGTTTATAAAAATTAGTTATCATATTGGAATCATATTTAATTTGGTTTGGTTTGATATTTATACTACCGATTTTTGGTTTATTCAGTTTTATACCAAATAACATTATTATTTGATTTGATTTCATATTATATGAATTTAAAAGAAAACATATTGTCAAAGCTATCATTTATTGAAGTAATCCTAGGTGTTCATAAATATAGAAAATGTGAAATTAACAACAAACAAAACGACCAACAATTCAGTTTTGTACAACTTTTCTTATTTTCTCTTTGTTCTTCCTAATAAATTACATGGTACAATCTAATTTCACAATTTCTTACAACATGCAAAATCAAATCAAATTTAGATAATAATTGAAGAAAATAAAATAAAATTATTAAGATATATCTTCACAAGGAATAAAAAAGTAAAAAAAACGAATATTCCAAGAAAATAAATGGTTATATAATGTATATATTTATATATTTTTTCTTTGATCGGTTTTATTCGGTTTAATCGGTTATAAACCTAACCATATCCAAATCCTACGGTTTTTATAAAATCATATCCATTTGTGGTATATAGCAAATCCAAACCATATTATCTATTTCGATTCAATTCGGTTCGGTACGGTTCGGTATTACCATATTGAACAGCCCTAGCAACAATATAAATGTTAGAATTATCACATATGGACCTTTAGGTAAATAATTATTTTATATATATGCATTAAATAAGATTTTAGTTGAATAATTAAGTTATTACTATAATTAGTATATTTTACAATGCAAGTGAATTAATGTCGATGACACAAACATTTGTTGAAGAAATTTTGATAACCGCGGTAAATATAAAAGAGTAAATATAGCATACCTTTTTATTCAACCTTAAAACATAGTCAAGGAAAGCACCAGAATAAAAACAATAACATCTAGTCAAGGAAAGCACCAGAATAAAAACAATAACATCTATTCATTCTTAGGTTCACTCCATATGATAGAACTTCTAGGTTCACCGTCCAATAATATTGTATTATTTCATATTTGATATATTTTAGAAAAAAGAAAGAAAATCTTGCTAAGTTATATTATGTTTTTAAAAATAAAAATATAAAAAATAATAAAAAAATAATAATTAATAAAAAATAATAATTTTTTTTAAAAGAAATATTTTAACACTAAACCCTAAACTCCAATCCTAAACCCTAAACCCTTGGGTAAATCATAAACTTTTGGATATTTTTTATAAAAAAATTATTTAAAAAGAATTATTTTAACACTAAACCCTAAAATCTTATCTTAAACCCTAAACCCTTGGGTAAATCATAAACAATAAACCCTAAACTCTAATCCTAAACCCTAAACCCTTGGGTAAATCAAAACCACTAAATTTTTAAAACACTATAAGATTTATCCAAAAGTTTATGATTTACCTAGTGGTTTAGGGTGTAGGATTAGAGTTTAGGGTTAGTGTTAAAATATTTTCAAAAGGAACTATTTTCATTTTTATTAATTATTATTTTTTTTTTGTATTTTTTTTTAAAAACATAATATAACTTAATAAGATTTTGTTTCCTTTTTTAATAGATATCAAATATGAAATAATGTAATATTATTGGATGGTGAACCTAGAGGTTCATCCTAGGGAGTGAACCCAAAAATAAGTCAAACAACAATAACCCCAGAACATAGATTGTTGAAGGAGAGAGAGAGAGAATCTAATAAGCATATATATATATATATATATAGCTTTTCTCTTATCTACCAATGCAAATATTAAAAGCTTAAGCGTCATTGATTGGCTCACCAGTTTTTTTTGAGAGAGAGTTTTGTAGACAACATGCCATGGAACCCAACAATTTTACATTACAAGAAAATAGGCAGATACTGACGGATAAAATCGTCAGGAATTCGTTGGAATTGACATATTTTGACGAATTTTTGACGAAAGTGGTCATTGATATCATTTCGTCAGAAAAAATAATTCGTCAGAATTTTGTCGGAGTTTCTGACGAATACCAAAAAATCACATTCTGACAAATTTCCGACGAAACTCCGATAACACTTTTCGAGAACAGAATTCATCGGAATCATTATCCCCGACGAACAAAAATCGTCGGTAAATTCTGACGAACTAAGGTCGTCAGTATATTATGAGGAAATGGTTTGTCGGTATATTCCGACGACATTGGTTTGTCAGAATATACTGACGAAATTGGTTCGTCAGAATATACTGACGACATTAGTTCGTCAGAAAATACTAATGACCGAGTTTTGTCGGTATATTCCGACGACATTTGTTCGTCAGAATATACCGACTAATAATACAAATGTCGTCGGAATATACAATTTTTATTGTAATTTTTTTTAAAATTTTAAATATTTGTATATTTAAAATTAATATAAATAAACAAATTCTGTAAATTTAAAACTAATAATATTATAGAATTTAAATTCATACAAATGTAAATAGAAAAAAAACATTCATAAAGCTTTAAAACTCAGAAGGAAACAAATGATCTAGTTTTTCCATTATCTGGGCGTTGGTCTTCTTTTGGGATTCCGGCTCAACAAGAATAGTGGTGTTCTGCTCCTCCAATGCCATAATCCGTTCATCTTTGTTTTGTAGCTGCTCCAAAATCATGGGATCGGTATACAAAGCTTGCGAAGAAGACGCCGGACACGAAGAAGAACGACGAGCCAACCCAACTAAACGACCTCCTTTCCTTTTAGGAACCGCCTGCAAAAATATTTAAAGTTAGTAAACTACTTTATAAAATAAATATTTTAATTAAAAATTACCTTTTAAACCATATCATTTATTTGCAAAGCGCTTGTAGAATCGCCTTCATCAGAGAGAGGCTGAGAAACTAGAAGAGCTTCTTTTTGAGTTTCCACCAACTCAACAACAGATATGATCACGGAGTCTTGAACTTGACCCGTCTTCTTGTTAGTGTGAGCCTCCTTAATGAGAGTGAGACGATCAACGAGATTACCGTCATTTGCTTCAATCTAAAAAACAACTATTAGCCAAGGAATAATATAAAAATATTTATTTAAATTAAAAAAGTTTAATAAAAAATAGAACTTATAAGTTGATCTTCCTTGGAAGACATAGAGAAAGCGCCGAGGTTGTGCACATACATACCTTGCCCGCCATGATTGCTCTTCCGGTTTTTGGAGTTCTTGCGAGATGTCGTTGTAGTGCCATCCTTCCCCCAATGGACTATCAACTGCTCCCATATCGTCCCGTTGATGAATCGTGGCCTCTTGTTCTTCTGCCATTATGTCTTCCACGCGTTGATCTGCTTAGTATAAGAGTCCATGGCATTTTTGTTGAATCTCTAACGGACTGTTTCCGTGAGATCAGACTCCCAAGTGAATTTTTTTTTTTAAATATATTATTTAATCTTCCCGAAGGGCATCGTTACAAAAGTTTTACAACTCGGAATCGAGCAAAAGTTTGGTACAACAGTGAAATTAGCAGATTTAACTACACAGCCAGTTGTGGGCGCAACCCGGACCCTTTTGTCATCACCACCACTCCCAAATTAATCCGGGTAGGAGCTGAAAGCATCCAACTCTCCTCCTTGCTGAAACTTTGTAGTCCATGAAGCTCTAAGTATCGTGGAGGAAAAGACAAACCTTCTGTAAAACAAAAGTCACAGCGAGAACCTCCTAAAAGAAAACACGAGCCGGTAAAGAGATCGTATCAGCTACAAGAGACATTGAAAGACCCCACCGCAACAAACACACCCATGAAAGACGGATCCGAGTTGGCAGCAGCTCAAAAACCATAGAGAGCTCCAAGACCTGCAAGAAATGTTAGCGAAACAACACTGCTAATGGAGTTCAAGTGAAACACCCACAGCATTGGGATGTGCTACAACGCCATTAGGAATCACCAAGTGATAAACTGGAGCTCTGGAGACCACCCAAAACCACCAAACACTCGCCAAATGCCAGTCTCGAGAACCGAAAACCAGTAACTTCGCAATGTTAACAAGTTGGTCCTGTGACGAACGGAACAACTTACCACCAAGGGAAAACATGAGCAAACACATTCGAGACTTTCCGGAAAGCTTCAATTATGAATCTGGAAATGAACCGGAGGAAGAGAAGCAGAGAGCGAGAGGATGCAACGCCGCCTCGGGGAGGCCATAGACGACCTCGCCGACACCGCAACGAGCAAAGAACTCTACGAGCTTGCACCGTAAGCATCGACACACGCCAACGCCACCGGTAAAGACACGTCTTCGAGTTAGAGAGAACCTCTGAAGCGCTCCCGGTGACAGCTTGTAGGACGCGTCCCTCCAAGACGCCGAGGACGAGACAAGCAAAACCGCAGCCATCACCACTCAGCCACAGACCAAAGAGGCAGACAACACACCAGATCTGGAGAGAGAGCCGCCCCACCGCCTCCACGTGCCGCCTACTCGCCAAGTTGCTCAATGGACCACTTGAGAAACCCTAAAAGCCGACTCCATCTGTAACCAACCCACCACACTCTGCGTCTGAACCTCCAAAACCTAGCCGAGTCCACCCCACCATCGGAACTCTTCGCGAGCAGAGATGACAACGGAAGGACCACTAGATGCAGAGACACGGACAAGGCAGAGAGATTGAGTCGACCACGACGAAGAAAAAGAAAAAAGGAGGAAGGGAGAAGAGATGGACCGCCTCCGGCACCGGTACGCGCCCTCACGCGCCGTCCGGACCGGAGCTAAAGCACTTTGGTTCTGATAAGTCGAGAGAGAGAAATGAGATAAAGAAGAGAGAGATTTTAAAGTCTTTCCTCCCAAGTGAATTTTTGCTACAAAACACACATAATTTTAATAAGTAGATATATATAAAAAATTGAAAATGCTTTAAAATATTGAAGAGTTACCGCAAACTGACGAAACCACAACTCCCGGCCTCGTGAGGAATCACACTCCACTTCGGATATCCGGTAAGGAGCATGGAATACATCATATTGTTGATGCTCCTGCTAATGCCATTGTTCGACTTGTTGAATCTTTTAAAAAAAAATGCATGTTAGAAAGTTAACTAACGTAAAAAACATAATTCTACAAATAAAATAAAAAATACTGATCAAGTCGTATGTACCGGCTGTGGGTTGGGATGGAGAACCGGGAGATACTCTCGACCTGGTTGTTGAACCAATTGTTCAACTGACATGACCCCCGGATCCTGCTCAACAACTGGAGGGATGACATATGGAGGGGGAGCGGGAACATATCCGGGAACCGAGTTTTGTTCGTGAGACGATCCAGATGCACGGGAACTGCTCACCGAGCTACCTCAGCCGCCACGGTATGAGGAACGACGGGGCAATGCGGGACGGGTGGGTGCATCCTCAGACCTAAAAAAAAAAGTATAATACATCAGAAGCTTTTCAGGTTGTTAAATATATAAAAAAAATAATTATATACGTTTTTGTCTATATAAAAAATATAAAATCTTTTTTTCTATTAAAAATATTTATAAAAAGTTTATTAAATATAGAAAAAAGTTGTTAAATATATATAAAAATTAAAAAAAATGTTTTATTATATATAATATATTACTGGAAACCCCAAAAACGTTTTTAAAAATAAAAATAAGTGTTTTTAAAAATTAGAAAACATTTTAAAAATACAAAAACAGAATAAAATTTCAAAAAAAAAAAACAACAATCCAAACAACAATCCTAGCTAATAGATCCTAAACTATCCATTCAATTCTAAAGTTTTCATTCAAACAACCTCAAATCCTAAGATCTAACATCCTAAACCCTAAAAAATTGAAATATACAAAGGTTTTATAGAATCTTACATGATTTGTGGTGTGAGGAAGATATGTGAGCTTGTGAAGAGGAGTCGCCAGAGAAGGGAGCTCGGAAATCGCCGGAATCGCCGTCAAAGAGAGAGAAATCAGAAAAAATTAAGAGAGGGAGGCGGAAATGTCGAAGAAGGAAGAAGATAGGAGTTTAATTTTAATGATTTCGACGGGTCCGTGTCCGTCAGAGTCATTAAATTTAAACCGATTGGCGGTTCGCGTAAAATTTCACGCGGTTTGGTTTTCCCGGGTAATATGATTTCGTCGGAATTCCTTCACTATATACCGACGGAACTCCGATGGCATAGTTAGTTTTCCCGGGTAATATGATTTCGTCGGAATTCCGTCACAATATACCGTCAGAATTCCGACAACATATTTGGTTTTCTCGGGTAATATGATTTCGTCGGAATTCCGTCACTATATACCGACGGAATTCTGACGACATAATTGGTTTTCCCGGGTAATATAATTTCGTCGGAATTCCGTCACTATATATCGACGGAATTCCTACGACATTGTGTTTAGGGGTTTAAAACAAGTTTCTAAATGCAAAATCCAAAACTTTCCAAATGAGTATAGTATTTGCATAAAGATTTAACTATATAAATGTGTTCAAAACACGATTTTACACACACAAAAAAATTTGTAGTGTAAGATTATATGAATATGATTGTATATGTACATGAGTGTTAAGATGAGATGTTATGAAAACAATGATATACATATATAAATATATTAATGAGTTGTTATATTTGAACCGTTGTGATCTAATACTATACTAAACATTTATTATGTGTTATTTTCATAGTTTCGGTTTCCAAATTTTATATATTTTTTGATATGAATTTTTTTTTAAAAATTAGTCCTCAAAAATTTGTCGGAATGTCGGAAGTATTTTCTGACGAATTTTTGAGGACTAGTGTTTTTTTGAATGAAACCACATTTCGTCACTATATCGTTGGTATATAGTAACCGAATACCGACGAACTTGTTTTTTTAAAAAAAAAAAAATACACCTGTATGTAAGATGTACAACAACTACAAAATACAAGTCAAATAATAAGTATTCCTAATCAGAATTTTCAGAATCTTCATAAAACTCTCCAACCTCAGCTTCGTCCTCTGATCACCTGCGCGACTATAGATCCTTCCACCCTACTTTTATTTTTGACCATCTTCTTCAGATGATGCATATAACGCTCGAAAACATACATCCATCGGTACTGCACAGGACCACCAAGTTCCAATTCTCTTGCGAGATGAATAACAAAATGTTCCATTACATAAAAGAATGTTGGAGGAAATATCTTCTCGAGGTTACATATGATGACTGGTATGTTTGCCTTCAGATTACTAATACCTTCTTCAGTCACTGCTCTGGTGCATAAATCACGGAAAAAAACCACTTATCCTTACACAGATAAAAGAAAAAAAATTTCTTAAGTATTAGGTTTATATAAGCATAATTAATGTTAAATATAAAAACCAATTAAAATGTAAAATATAAGATACCTGCAATTGTTTCATGAACATTACATGGCAATAGTGCGGAAAAAGCAAACAAAAGGAGATGCTGCATAATTACATGACAATCATGACTCTTCAAGCTAGTAAACTTTCTTTTGCTTCTATAAACGCAGTTCCGCAAATTTGATGCATAACCGTCTGGAAATTGCACTCTATCTGTAGTCCAATCAAAGAACTCTTCTTTTGCAGCACCATCCAGCCGATAAATGGGAAAAGGGGCCGTACTGTTCTCATCAACGTGAAGTTCAGAACGATCACAGATATCGACTAAATCCAACCTTGACTTCAAATTATCCTTCGTTTTACCTTGGATGTTAAGGATTGTGTTCATCAGATTGTCGAAAAAATTCTTCTCAATATGCATGACATCTAAATTATGCTGTAATAGATGATCCTTCCAATATGGCAGATCCAGAAAATACTCTTTTTGTGCCAGTTATGTAGCTCTCCAACCGCATCGACTCGAATGTTTTCATGTCCACCTACGTCTGGCGCCCTATCTGCACCAAAATCCCTCAACTGCTTCCACAAATCTTCTCCAGTAACTTCCTCAGATGGACCATCAAACACCTGCTTGTTCTTCGTAAACAAAGTCTTACTCCTACGGTATGGATGATAAGGTGGTATAAATCTTCTGTGACAGTCAAACTAACACGTTTTCCTTCCGTGCTTTAGTTGGAAAGCATCTGTGTCATCTTGACAATGTGGACATGATAACCTCCCATGTGTTGTCCATCCGAATAACATACTTATATATGTTGGGAAGTCACTTATTGTCCACATAAGTATTGTCCGCATATAAAAATTTTCTTTGTAGTTCCCTCAAAGGATATAATATATTCATCATCTTCATACATCAGCACAAACTGCACAAAAACAAAACATTTTACGTTCAAGAAAACATAAAATGTTTACGTTCATTTGAGTTTATTCCGTGACTTCAATAAATTAATTAATATGGGTATACCTCTTTACGTTCATTTGAATGCATGCCGTGACAATGAGTTATACATTGGTCTCCCTTGGCATACACAAACTCAACGGAGCTCACACGACCACCATCTTCTCCAATGAACACTCTCCTCAGACCGTCATAAGCCTCATCATCCCAAGAATGCCCATTGGAACCACCTTGAGGCTCTAACTGCTTTAAAGCCGAAGAAACGACGAAAAACTTAGCTGTTAGGTCGTAAAGAAAACGACCAGAAGTCCAGAACGTCCACGGAGCAGACGAAGCTTCGTTCCATGGTTGCCCTCGAACCTGAACGTCATGCTACTATGTCCGGACAGAACGTCATGTTCTCCCGTATGATGTCTTGAACTGAAGCTCAGTCACCATAAACTTAAGTTTAGGATACCACTTATAGTACACATCATCATTAAATCGTTTAGCTTCTCCCCGAGCTCCCTCAATACATGTAATGTATTCGTCTGGACCATTAACTTCGAACTCGGTCTTAAAAGTTTTTTTTTAAAATGAGCTAAACAGAAAACAAAGAGCAATTAAAAGGCAGAAAAAACAACACACAGAGAAACAAAATTAATTATAGATATAAAATAGAAATACCTCGGTGATTTGTGGTCCTCTTTCGCTTCCATGTTCTAGCTCGACGACATGTCCGTTTCTCACGTACTGGATCTTGATGTAAACGACGCCTAGAGAGTCTTCTCCGATAACCACTGTCTTTACACCGTCCTTAACACCATCGTCTAAGGCTTTTACGTGCTTTGATGATGAAAGTGGAGACATAATAAACAAAAGAATAGAGAGAAAGTGATTTGTTCCTTTAGATTTTCTGAGCTCTGATGAAGGTGAATGGATGAGTCCGTTTGGTATATGTGTGTATATATACTGAAACTATATGGCACGGATCGATCTTTTCTTTTCTTTTTTCTCTAACTACTAGTCTTTTGTTTTTGAACAACTCTAACCAGTACTAGTCTACCATATTACTTTTACTATATACTTTATTTTTCATATTTGTTAAACAGTTTTAAGCTTAGAGATCATTACATATTTTCATGCACTCACACCTTAACCACAATCTGTGGCTCTTAATTATGTATAAATAGTGCGCTTCAGTTTTGAGATCAATTATAGTTTATTGTTTCTCTGCTTAGTATTTAATATTTTTATGGACAAGCAGGGTTATTCACCGTGCTACGCGTGTTTTATATATTTTAAATTGTTAATTTAATATTTTAATCAATATGTGTTCTATTATTTGAGTTTGTATTTTTTTACCGGTCAAATAATATTTATTGTTATTTTTGTTTTATTTTTAAAGTAAACTTAGAGTATGATTTGTTAATTATTTTACTTTAGAACATATGTTTAGACAATACACAATAAAAGTTATTCTTTTCAAACTAATAAAATAAGTAGCTTTGATGTTATGTTTTTCATCCCACTCATCAATTTTCGTTAACCTTATACGTTGTATTGATGTAATTATTTGTTTTTGTTAATTTTCATCTGAAACTCCAAATACTATTTATGGAGCTCTTAGAGTAAAATCTTGTTAGTGGCGTTTTGAAAATTAATAGATTTTCATCTGAAACTTCAAATACTATATTTATAGAGTTCTTAAAGTGAAATCTTGTTAGTGGTGTTCTGACAACTAATAGCTTTTCTACATTGTTTTAATTTATGTTCAAATTATATCGTATATGATTAATTAATGTAAGTTTTTAATTTTAATACGCTTTAGGATTTATGTTCGCTAACATTATAATTTTCTTTTACAATCTTTGGTGTTCAATAGTTTTATAAACATATATATTTGTCATCATATATAGCTGACCGCACAATTGTGAACTTACAATAAATTTTTATTTATTAAATCTTGATTTATGTTACATGTTTTTCTATTTTGTATCTACTTAATGGTAAACTTAATCTCCACTTCATTTTGCGCCTCAATTTTGGAGGTTTATACTTTGATGTGTGTTTTACCATTTCTATGTTTTAATCATATTATATAGGCTTAATTATATTAATTGGTTATTTTCATCTTCATATTTTTCCTTATTATTGTAAAAAAAACGTGTTTATGGTTGATATAACATTACTTCTTTTCTTTACATGTGTGTATATAAAAAATATAACCCAATTTAGACAATTTCCAAGAAAATTCAATCTAACTCAGTTAATAGTCTTCCTTTTAAGAAACGAAATTTAACACATACATTGCCTTTAAATCAATTATAAATGAATGACAAACCCAAAATATAATTGGTCAAAACATTTATACCGTTACCACTTACCAGCTTAAGAAAATATTTTAACTTGAATTTTAAATATTAATCTTATACTCAAATATTAAATCAGTTTATTACTTATCTTGATCTGTTTCTTCAATATTTTGGATTTGAAAGATTTAACTAAAAATGGTCAAAGACATTACTAATGTAAACATTTCGAATCACTTATGTCACTATTATTAAATTCTTAAATGGATTCAAAAAGTAATAAATTTCACCAATAAAGGACATAAATATAAAGGTTATAGTGATCTCAAAATCTTGATTTAAATAATTTTGTCCTTTTAACCAAGTTGTATGGCTAAGACTAATTTTCTTATCCATTTAACGATCAAGATAAGGTCAACCTGTACTAACGGGACAATATTGACTAACTTCTTGCATTTTTTAAGAGCTCAAACCCAACTTTAAGAGGCCCAAACCACAAAACATTAAAATATTCTACGGTCCTCTTCATCTGTAACCCAAAACAAACTTGAAATATCTTTCTATTGAAACCAAATAAAAAAAAAGAGTCTTATGCTGATCAGCTTAAACAATCTTTTCAAAGCAACATTTCTCTCTCGGTAAGGATTAAAAAGTATAAAACATAGAGAGTCTTCTCCGATAACCACTGTCTTTACACCGTCGTTAACACCATGTCTAAGGCTTTTACGTGCTTTAATTATGAAAGTGGAGACATAATATACAAAAGAATAGAGAGAAAGTGATTTGTTCCTTTAGATTTTCTGAGCTCTGATGAAAGTGAATGGATGAGTCTGTTTGGTATATGTGTGTATATATACTGAAACTATATGGCACGGATCGATCTTCTTCTTTTTTTTTCTAATTACCAGTCTTTTGTTTTTGAACAACTCTAACCACTAGTCTACCATATTACTTTTACTATATACTTTATTTTTCATATTTGTTAAACAGTTTTAAGCTCCATCTTTGGTCAGCTTCGTGGGGTTAAGATCGCCTGAGATGGTGGTCTTGCTTTTGGGATTCATCGTGTTTGAGAACTTGGTTGAGAAGTTTGAGAATATGGAAAACTTGAAAAGAGAAAACGAAGCCATTAAAGGGGGATGGAATGATGGAGTGCAGGATTAATCGACTTCGGTATAGAAGAAAGGAAAAAAGTTGACAATGACGGCAAATTAGGGTTACACTTCAGACTCAGGATCTGGGCCGACGAAAATCAATAAAAAATTTATAATTTCAGGTCCAAAACGAATCAGCATTATTTTTGCTGCCGTGGCAGCATGAGAGGGGAGATTATCTCCCTTTTAGTATCTTATTATATAAAGAAGGGTTTTCCCTCTTTCTAGGATGCCACGTCACTAATTCGTACATTCTAAAAGCGACATCTGTCCTACCATCTTAAAACACTGCGTTTCATTAAGTCTGTCATATTTATGTAGGTTTCGTTTTATATGGGCTTTGTTTTTGAGCGACCGATCTCCGTAATCTCACGCGTTTCAATCCATTTTTAGGGTTCTTCCCACGTGGCCATCGTCACATCCACCTTCCAGCTCCACTTTCCAAAATCCCACCGTCGAGCTCTTCTTCTTTCTGGACACTTTTTAATCTTGAATTCTAAAACTGGCCAAAACAAACAAACATGAATGTAGACAAACGAACAAAAAACTCTAAAACTGACAAAAATATATTTGAAAATAGAAATAAGAAAATTACAGAGAGGTGATGAGTTAGATTGGTGACGACAAGTATGGCACACGACGAGCTTCAGCAGAGACAAAGAAGAAGATGAAATAGAAACAAGACGAAATTCATTTAATAAAACAGGAAAAATAAACAAATCAATAAACACAGAAGAAATGTAGAGAAGAAAAAGAAGAAAAGAAAACCGTGTGATGAGAAGAAAGAGATCTGAATTTTAAAAAGGAAGAAAACAAGTTTCTGAATCTGTTTCTCGGTGCACACAAGAGGACAGACAAAGAGGTTGAGATTGATTCTCTACCGTTAGATTAAACTTTAATCAATGACTATTAACCAATGAAAAAATATTGTGTATTTATTTGTATTATGACTTATTTGTTATTATGTTCTGATTTTAATTTTTATATTTAAATATAAAACTGAAGGTTAAAAGTTTATAATTTATGCATTTGAATTATAAAAATATTTTCATGGAGAACAAAATTTATTAAGTTTATAGCTTATAGTCTAAAGATTTAGAGTCTTTTAAAAAAATTAGGGTATAAAGTTTTAAATTTATGTTAAGAATTGTGTATAATAGATATAACTTAGTTTAAAATTTGGGTTTTGGTGTTTGTAGTATGATTTAAAGTATAAATTTAAGATTTGATTTTAACTATTAAATTTGCTTAGAATTTAGGGTTTAAAATATTGTTCATGGTTTAGGGTTTCAAAATTCAGCTATAAATCCGTTGAAATTTCTTACGGATTTCTAACCATTTCATGCCATTAAAATTTTTTGACGGATTTCCAACTACTTAATTTTTTTATCGAAAAACGATTGGAAATTTTTGACTTTTTCTAATTTGTTCCATCAAAAATATAAATTTTTATAAAAGTTCCGGGAGTAGTGTGTTAAACTATAACCGTAGACTTTATACATATCAACAACCACTATTGTGTTAATAATCAGAAAAGTGATATACAAAATTTATATATTCAAAATATTCATAATCAAACCAAACTAAATTATATTAAACATATAATTCCACCTCCCCTACAATTTTCTAAAATACAGAACAAAAAAAAATCATACACAACTTTCCAATGCAAACCTATAATACAAAGTACAAAACCATACAAAATTCTTAACGAACATTATACGTAAAGTATACTCCGCCCGTAGGGCGGGCTGGCCCTAGTAGTATATATATAGATTACTTTGCAGAAGAATAATATTAACTATATATGTATTAAATTTCAAACATTTGTTTTTCATTTTTGAACGTAAGATTTATCACATATGGACTTTGTTGTAAATAATTATCTATATATGTACCAAATATGATTTTAGTGGAATAATTAATTACTTTATATTTCATTTTTGAAATATGGTTTTAAGCTTAGAAATATTTACATGTCAGCCACTTGCTTAGACTATGTACATTGGTTGTATTTTTACAACACTCTATTTTCACTTCACATCATCTTCTCTCTCTTACACATCATTTTTTCTTTCCTCCACATCACAATTCAATACCAATTCAATTTTTGTTCTCTACAATGGTTTTGTTTTACAAAATTACAACACCATACCTCACCAATATTATTCATACTTTTATTTTATACTTATGCTTACATATTATAGATAAAATTATCCTTTGACTTTAAACTAAATAATTAAAAAGTAAATATAGTGGAAATTATTAGCAAAAATATAGTAAAAAATGTGATTTTTTTTTGTGTCCAGATGAAATGAAACAAGTCTCTATTTATAGAGTACGAAAAATGATGAACTTTATATAATATTTAGATATATATATATATATATAGTTACAATTATAT